TTCTAGTAGTTTCTGCACTGTTGGACACAGTACAGGAGGAGCCTGTACTCTGTGATGCAGTTCTGACATCTGCAGCTGAAACTGAAGGTTGGAATGAACCTAGAAAGTCAGAGGTCTCAGTTTTAAATACTGTGTTCATACTGGCCATGGATGCTGGTGTACACACATGCCCTCAACACCTTAAAAGCCTTTTAAATGTCTGGGTTTTGTTTTTCTGTATTGAAGTATTTATTTCCACCTTACCTTTCTCTAGCTAATGAGGGTGCACATTAAATACTTCTCTTTCCTGCAAACCTTTTATTTTTGCTTTGCTATACATGTTCTACCCCACGGTATTTTGGTGCATTCTATAGCATTAGTGATCAGATGAAGGTTCAAAGTCATATCAATGATATAAAGGAAAAGCATATCCATGAAGTTTTTTATCTGTAGCACCTTCCTATTGCAAAACATCTTTATAAAGATCTATTTTATTTGGAAAGGAATATATTCTCTGCAGTGCACAGCTTGTTTAATCTGCCTACATTTTTATTATTTATGATGTCTGTAATGTCTAATCAAAAATTATTTGGCTTTTTTGCCTGGTACTTTTTGATAGAGAATCACTATTAATCTAGATTCCAAATCCATATGTTATTAGCATTGCTTTCACAAAATATCCATATACACTGTCAAATAATGGAAATTGTAATAACTGGTGGGACTCTAATGAGCAAAATAAGTTCTAATTACCTCATAAACCTGCTTTTATGACTGGAAGTAAAAACAAATATTGCCTGAAAGTAGTGTTAGCTTAATCCACTGGAGAAATTGAAGAGACCTTAATTCCAAATATCAGGTTGCCCAAATATACCAAAAGTAAGGTTCTCCATAGGTAGGAAGAAATGCAAATTAGGCTCAGTGTAACAAAATAAAGCATCATCTGCTCAGCATAACAAAATAAAGCATCATCTGCCTGTCCCTGACTCTTTGAAGTAAATGTCTCAAATCTTGCCTCATTTATACGGGGGTAATTTGAAATTTATGTTAAAATCAGCATAGTGACAATCAAAATGAAATTCTCCATGAGGATTTCCACAGTTAAAAGTGTCAAAAACAGGATTAAATTGTTACTTGGTTGTATAATGTCCAGCATTTCTAGTGAAGCAACGATACTAGAAATAGCACCTAGATATCCCAGTTCTCACTTCTCTGCTTTCATTGTCATACTCTCAACATCCACACTGACAAAAATGGTGGTACGTACATGTGCATGCTATTATGATAAAAAAGTAAAGGCTGGACATACAGTGAGTGTTGTTGATAATGAGTACTTAATACTTGTATTCCAGCAGTCCAGGACTACTTAGGTCATGCCAGGACAGTAAAAATACACAAGCAAGCCTTTCAGAAGAGACTAGTGGTTTTAAATAGAGTCAAACTGTGAACAGCAGCTGCCTTGAAAATACCTCTAAACTGCTGAGTCACTGTACTTGAAAATCAGTCCCCTTTTCGACTTGTTCACCAGTCATAAAACTGGACATCTCCGGTGGTTTCTAGAATAGTTTCAGGAGTGTAATGGAAATTTAGGTGCTCTGGATGGGTGAATATTTTTTCTTTATGTGGAGAAGGATTGCTGTGAAAATCTAACCTGCGGTTTCAGATCTCATATATGCTTTGGATTACCGAAATTGGATTAAAATTGCACTCTGTAATTTCTACTTTGTGGTATTTGCTGGGTCCCCAGGTTGAGGAGGAAATGAGTGAATCTGACTCCATGTTCTTAGAAGGCTAATTTATTATTTTATGACATTATTTTATTAAAGAATACTATACTAAAACAATACTAAAAAAATGGAGAAAGGATAGAGACAGAAGGCTTAACAAGAATGATAATGGCAAACTCGTGACTCTCCAGAGCCTTGACACAGCTGGATGTGATTGGTAATTAAATTAAAACAATTCACATGAAACCAGTCAAACAATGACCAGTTGGTAAACAATCTCCAGACCGCATTCCAAAGCAGCAAACACAGGAGAAGGAATCAGATAATTATTTTCATTCTTCTCTGAGGCTTCTCAGCTTCCCAGGAGAAGAAGTCCTGGTGAAGGGATTTTTCAGAATATATGACAGTGAGAATACTGCATCAATAATATAATCAACTATAAAACCTTACCTTTTTTTTTTTTTACCTCTAGTTTTGCAGTAAAGACTTTGAGCAAATTTTCTCAGAGTTACATATTTCTGAGAAGTCTTAAGGAACAAATTTTGTCTCCCTAGAGTGCATTACGCCAGAGATGTTGGTGAGAGGAAGATGACTGTGTTATGTGGGAGACACAATTTATGAGAACATTTTCCTTAGTGAGGAAAAGGAACCTACTGTTAGTAGTATTGATCAAGCTGATAGTCACTAGGCAACAAGTCCTAGGCAGATTTATATGGGAAAGGCTGGATGTCAAAAATGCAATGTTGTTATGGAAATGATTTATTATCAGCTAAAGGGAACTTTAAGGGAGTCAAGGAACTGACAGTCTAATATAAGGCACATTTCAGGTTTTGGAGTAAAGTCTAGCAAGAATATAGCTGCTGGGTCTGTTGCTAAGTGACTGTGTCTATTTGCCTAACTTCAGGCTTCAAGCTTGTGAAGTGATACTGATTTGTGGCTTTACATTCCTCATTGATAGAGAATAAACTTGGGCAGGATTCAGTTCTTTACAACAATTAACTGCAGGAGGGATTTTATAGTTAATATATTTTATGATTTTTAGGCCTCTTGAGTGTATTGCTTCTGCTTACAATTCTGCTCATCCTCTTCTGTATAGGAGTACATCTTTAGGCAAGATCACCTAGCTTCCTGAAAATCCTTGTCACCCAGTGAGCAATCTCCAAGCATCCTGCTTCTGAAAATAGTGATTCTAGTTTACTGGTATTCTGTATAGCACCAAAATGGTTGTTTTAGTAAACAATTAAACCTGAAGCTGGTCTTGTCTTCTGGCATAAAATCTATTTCCTAAAACAATAGTCAGGAGTCACTGCATCCTGGGCCAAAATGCATAGTGAGAATGCCTGAGATTGGCCTTTTACATGCTGGAAAAAAACTACACATCTTTCACCGAGTCTGCTCAGTGAGGCCTCTGGATTCTGCTGTAAAATCAGGTATGAAACAGTGAAGTATTTGTGGTCTTAGGGCATTAGTGTAGGGATAAAGTGTCAGGATACAGACATTCATTTCCACAGCCATGTCCCGAAGTCACTTGCGCCAAAGAGAATATTTTTGGATAACTGTAGCAAGTTTTCACAGGACCAAGGGACTCACAGTTGTAAGACTTCTTTGGCCATCTGTATCCTAAAATAAATGCTGCTTTACCCTGGGTACTATTACTAAGGGTTTATAGTTCCACTGACTGGGCATCTGTAATATTTTCACTGTGTTTAATATCTCATTAGAATCTGCATATAATATTTGATTTTGCAATAGAAATTATACCAAGCAATTGATGATCCTAATTCAGGGACACTTTTTCTTTCTCCTCTGTAAAGATTTGAAATTTTTTTAGCTACCCATAATGATTCTTATTAAGAATTTAAGGTATCTCATTGTTCTCTTACTGCCACTGATAAGAAGGTCATGTAGTTGCAAACCTTTTAAATTTGTGTTGGACCTTGTCTAATAATCTTGGTCATGTCCCATTATCTAACATTCTTTACTATATTTTTCTACTGCATTAGGTTCTACTACCAAAAGATCTTTTCATTATTCTTCCTTATTACTCCATGTTATTAACAATATAGTAATATATTTAAAATTGTGTTTAGAGCTTGTAAAGAAACAGCCTGATTCTTATCTTTTATAGACATTTGCATAGTGTTTTCATACTTGCTGGAATTATCAAGTGTTTATATTTGTTACTGTTGCTGGATCATGTAGAATTTTCCCCCACTGTTATTTAAAAGCGGTTATAGTCATGAGATCTTGGTTTACCATGGGCTGATTATCCAAGTTGTGGATTACCTATGTGTTGTTACTTCCAGCCATTCTTAGGCTGCAGCAAAACGTGCAGCCACTCTAGGACGCATCTGCATTTGATGTGTTGTGAATTGTGGTATTTTTTCATGAAGCACTGCTTTGTCTGCTTAGTGCTTTGTTTCTTCCACTTTCCACAGTTTCCAAATATTTGAAATTCAAATATTTCTGTGAATTATATACATTGATCTTATAATTTGGAATAACTGTTTTCATTTTATAAAAGCTGGTATTCTTCTCCATTATGTTTCGTGTTCTTAAGAGGCGACCACTGACTATATTCTAGTGCACTGATTTACAATGTTGAACTTTATTTATATAATGTTGTTTCAAATGAAAAGGGCCTCATAATCATTAAATACATCAACTGTGAGTGGTTTGACCTGTATTCCAACACAATATGAAATCCTAAGTTACCAATTCAAAAAGTTTCTGAAAACCCAGGGTTAAATCCATAAATGTACTGAGGTAATACATTTTTTATTTTAAAAGTTAATACAAAATACTTGTCATTTATCATCTTGGTGGGACATGTTAGGCCTAGTTAGGGGATATTTGGTTGGTTTTTATTATTTCAGCAGTATGAGATGAGAGTCACTTCTTTGACATCAGTAAGTTTATCCCTCTAGCCTCACTGATAGTAGAATATGTGTAACAACTATCCTTAATTAAGTTTTAACAATAATCCTGTTCTCCTAGTTACATGGAGAAAAGCCTGTGGTTGTGTTAACTGGGATTGTCCTCCCTATTTAGCATTTATGTTCTTAGAATTTAAAGCAAAATAATCCCATGGCTATGCTTTTGAAGTCCATTGCTGGGAAAATGCTAGAGCTGATACCTCTACCTCCTAAATACCCAAATCTCTGGGTTCTCTCCTGTTAAAGGCTGTTCACCTAGCTTGCAGAAGGAAAACTTAGTTTGGAAAATCACAGGTGCAGTAAGTAGTAGGGATGGTAATGGCAATAAAGCCTCATATGGAATTCTTCTTCATTACAGGAGTACAAACGCAAGTTAGCCAGAGTGTCCCAAGTACGGAAAGAACTCAGGTCACGCATCCAGAACCTGCCTGATCTCTCTCGACTTCCCAACGTCACGGGCAGCCACGTACACCTACCGTTTGCAGGAGACATCTACAGCGATGACTGATTCCCAAACATCCCCCATAGCCTCTGCTTTTCTGTGGAATGAGGGGTAGGCCAGACTGATCGGTACTCTTGTAGTATTATTTTTGTATATTGTTGCAGAGTGTCAGTAAAAATACTTTAATAATTTATAAAAAATGGTTTAAAAAGTTGATTTGTTTACTATTTTATTGGTGAGTGAACATAAGGGTACATTTATAAAAGTGGCATCTCTGTCTGTTACATGGAAGAACGAATAATTATCTTTTGTAAAGATTTTAGTTGGGTGCCCTGTAAAAAACATGCTAAGATTTTTCTTATGTACCCTGTATTTAATGTAGAACAGTATATAATCAAAACATAATTTTAACTTGAGACGTTTCCGTTGCTAGTGGGAGAGTGAAACATGGAAATCATAGGCTTAGGTTTGCAAGAAGGCCAATGCCATTTAATGCAAAGTTAAAAGTGATCTTGCTGTCCATTACATTTAAATTACCCACTCCCAAAACAATGTGGGTTTTTTTGAAGTAAATGTTAACAACCAATTTTCTATTGGAAAATATTAATCATGTTACACTGAGCAGATCTTCAAACAACTCAAAATACTACAATATTTTTGTATCATGTAGAAGTCAGCATGTAGAAACTATAAAATTGACCAGTTAATTATGTTTTGAAATTGTAGCTTTTTACAGCTGCTTAGTTTCTAAATCGAGGGACCATTCATTTGCAATCTAATCCTGTTCTGGAACATCTGTTTCCATCTAAAAAGGTTAATCCCAGAAATGTGAAGCCATTTTACAGTTTTAATTAAATTGAAAGGTCATTCTCTAAACTGTCTTAGTTGCTAAATGCCCGTTATTAAAATTTGACAATGTACCATCCATACATGCAACAAAATGGTGATACAGTTGTACTGTACATCCTCTTCCACTGAGAAACCCTGGAGGCCAGCATGGGCTACCACCTCCTCACCTTCACCTGCTCCAGCAAATATTTCTAAATCTTGCTTGTCTTTTTCTCACACAACAGGAAGAGACTGTTCAGGCCTGTGTATAACTCAAACAGCAGAAAACTATTGCCCAGTTTAAAACCTCTGTTGCATGCGATAAGTGTGGTATTTGTCAGGGAACAGCTGAATTTGTGAAGAATCCTTGTTTCCATACTATGAATCACCTTTTAAGTTCACTTAAAGATACAGATAGGCATTTAGCACATTGCCAGGAAGTTGCAGCTTTTCAGTTCACTGGAATGAGCCATGTAATCACTGAGTAATTTTAGAAATGCCTACCTGTACCTTTGGCATTTTGATGACCTAAAAGACCTGGGCTGCAAGTGTTTTAGGTGCCAATATCAAAATCCGAGCACCATTGGTTTGACCACAGCATCCCAGAATTCCCACTTCTTCCTGGTCAAACCACCACATTTGGATATATCATAGGACTGTTTTATGATTGCGTTTTGTCCATGGTTTTGCACTTGTCAGGCATTGTTTTGTACCAGTTCAGCTCACAGTTTACAAGTTTAATACACCTCACATGAAATCAATTTTTTTTACAAAAAGCTGTTCTTCCTTTTTTAAACCCACAACAATTCAAAATAGTCCTGGAGTGAAATTGTTCAATTTCTGAATTGTTCAGACAGTTATCTGTCACTTGTTATTGGCTTCTACAGGGCGAATCACCAAAATAGTTGTAGGATGTGAATGGAGAAAGAATAACCACTCTCTTTAAAATACATACACTTGGACATAGGCATCTCAATTCAGTTACTTTTTCTCATGGAAGTTGCTATGAATTAGACCTCAGTTAAGTAGGGAAAAAGCCTGAAAAGATAGAAATACAAGCTGTTGACATAGAAGTCCATAGCATGCAATGTAGAATACTGATTTCCTAAAAAATTCTGACTGACAAATAGGAGTGTGCAAAATAGTTATCAGAGCTCACTACAGGTCCAAAAATTTCAGTTTTGAGTGGCAATTTTCCATTCCATACGAAAAAAAGAGCTGTGACTACATTGAATCCAGAATATTTAGTTTCTTTAATTTAAGTGTAATATGCAAAATTAAATAACACTTACTGACATCTTTTCAGTGTAGATTCTTGATAAGAAAATGTTCTGATACAATTTTAATGTTTCAAATATTTCTGTTGTAGAATGTTAAACTCACATAAATTCTTACACACGTGTATTTGCATTGCAGTTGCAGTTAAAGCTCAGTTTTGCTAAAGAATAGCACCAAATTTGTGGTAAATATTAAACCAGCTTAATCTATTAGGAATTCTAAAACAAATCATAGAACTAGAGGCATAAATAGTGAGTTCATGGTTGAATTCCATCCATAGAAAACTTAATTTATGCCCAGAGATGATTATAAGTGCAGTGACAAGGCTTATTAGACTATGCTGAAAGATCTATATTGGATACTCAGAATCATAGGGAATTAAGCTTAAACAATCTTTTTCAGCCTGAATTGAAATTAGTTGTAATAATAAAGTTGAGTGCTGAATTTTCTTGATCTCTCAAAGGTTTTAAAAAAAACATGACATTTACTTCACTGGATCTGTTTTTCCTATTCATAACTCCTGGTGATAACATTGCTTATCTATAGGTAATGTAGAACTGATAAAAGACTGAGGAAAACCTCAACTTTTTCTTGCTGTATATAAGTTTTAATTTTGAGAGAGTGTTATTTTCTAGATATATTTTTCCTTATTTTACTGTGAAATTGTTTACTTCAAGGAGTTTTTCATAGCTGGGGTTTTGGAAATGATCCCTCAATATTTGTTTGGAAAAGAGGGCTTGTGAAAGGCAAAGGTCACTCTTAGAGGAAGTTTCATATATTAATGGCTGAATGGTACGCTGGGGTTTTTTTATTTATATGGGAAAGGCGTTGGGTATCAAGTAGTTAGGAGATTTATACTGTAACTGTAATAGTATAGCAGGAGATAGCATGGTAGAGAGTACAGATGCAGCCCTGTAGTGTCCAAAAATACCTCCAAATTCTCAGGTTCCAAAGCTCAATGTACGTACTTGTGACATCTCAGGAAGAAAAGAGGCTGGGTGCGTAAGGGTAGGGTGCCGAAGAGACAAAAGGGAGAACATGCCTGGGTGGAAAGGTAGAGCAAACCACATGTCAGCTTCTGTCAAAACAGAAATAAGTGTGAAACTGGGCAGCACAATGTTTTATCTGTAGGTGGGGTTGTACCACAGAACTGCTTTGGGGTGTTGCCATCCTGGGAAAGAAAATGCATGGGCTTACCCTGCCTACCTCTTCTAATGTGGTCTGGCTCTAGGCAATGCAGAATGCCCGCCATACAAAAGGCACAATTATAAAATATCTGAATATTTTTAGTCTAATAATAAAGTCATAATAATTAGATTATTTGCTTCACTATATTGCACTTTTATTAAGCATTCTCTGAAAAAAGCAAAGATATTCCTGCAGCACTTTGCCATATGAGAATGCTTACCTTGGAGGTCACTGGGACTGCTTGTATGTATATTCTAGTGTTTGCAGGCTCAAACTGTGTTTTTTGCAGAATGTTTTGAAAGATATCAGGAATACTACCCCACTTTTGTGGTTTTAAAAATAAATGTGAAGTCCTTAGTTACAAAAGTTGCCATTCTTAGAAATTATGTTTCATGACTTCTTTTGGAAATTAGACCACAGCCTGCAGTAATACTAGCTTTTCTGATTCACTCTGTAATGTTTGTATTAATATATTAAAGCACCTCTGTTAATCCCTAGCAACACAACCCAAACCACATGCTTATTATGTATTTTATCCAAGTAGTCTTCTGAGTGTCAAATTGAGAGCTTTCATTATGATGAAATTACATTCCTGCTTACCTGAAGTTTCAAAAAACCCATTGTGTTAGGACTTGCACAGACTAGTTCTGCTCTCACATCTCAGTGGTAACTCAGTTTGGTCCTTTGATGATGACCCAAACACATATGTAGGAAGGATGCAGTAGCCAGCGGTGCAGATGACAGTGGAGGACGTGGAAATCATACATAGGCTTGGTTGGCCCTCTGCAGAAGAGCCTTTTGAAACATAAGGAAATAGATCTGTGGGTGTGGGGTTTTTTTCAGTGGGAAAATCAGTGAAAACCAGCACGTCCAAAATTTGATGGTTACATTTACAAATGTTTAGGTCAGTTCTGCTCATTACATTTAATCACAGTGATTATTCCTGCAAGTAAAGAAAGCAGGCTCAAACATAGTGGCTGAAGTGGAAATTTTTTTAATGAATGACCAATTTTGTCTCGGCTCCTATTTCAGTGTGTCATTTATCTTGATTAAGTAGTAAGCCTCTTCCATCGTGTTATTTAGGAATCTAATTCTGACTTCATATTTACAATAGTTGAAGTATCCTACTAAGCATGATGTTTTTGTGGGAATTTGAAAAAGTTCAATAGCACTCATTACTTGTTTGCAACAGAAATAGACTTATTTGTTAAAAGCTAACAAGAAAAGTTTGAAATGTAAAGATGTTTCATTATTGTGCTTTTCTGACAGAACCTGTAATCCTTGTGTAATTTATGTCCTCAGAATTACACCTGTATGTACGCTCTTTCATATTTAATAAAACATTGTTGTAAAAACATCTTTGAAAATTATTGTTCCCTGCTTGTCTTCTCAGTCTCATGGTGAGAAATGGCTTTAATGTCAACTGCTCCCTATACTAGGAGGTAGTCAAGATCTCATCTCAGGGATGATGCTGAGGAAATGCTTGATACTAATTTCAAGGTTTATTACTCCCTGTATTCTGTGTGACGGTTTTTGGTGAGAAAGCAGTGTGTTAAAGGGTCTGAGGTTCTATGTCTAGAACTGTAAATTTAGTTGAGCTGATTATTTTAAGACACACTTTTGTAACATTTTCAGTGTGGTACAAGTACTGCCAGTGATACACATACCATTGGCCAGTAGAATTTGTGTGAGCTGGGAAATAACTCCCACTCTCAATTCAAATGCCTCTTTGCAGGGCTGTATGCTTAATGGAGACCTTCTTGCTCTTACTTTACAAAGTCTGAAATGAGAGAAGGCATTTCCTCTCTCGAGTTGTTCTTACAGCTCTTCAAACACAAGCCAGTAATGTGGCCTGGCAGTGGTTTGGAGGGGAGCTCAGCAAGTCTCTCACAGCCAGCAGCCTTCAGTGTTTCATCAAGTACAGGAAGGTAATGTGTCCTGAAGGGGAGAGTGCCTGACTTGCATGTATGCGTGTAGTCTGTGTTTGCATGTAAGCCTCTATGTGTGGGTATGTATATACCTATATATATTATCTATAGAGATATGTTTATACATATGTGTGTCTATCTTTCAATACACTAATTCTGTGAAAGTCCAGTTAACAGAAAGAACACTCCATTAAAGGCTTAGGAGTAATATAAAAGCACTGGAGAATATTTCTACCTAGCATTTTGAAGCACACTTGTAAAACAAGAGAAGGCACGTACTCAATGACTTCTTTCCCTTTGTTCCCAGAATAAAGTCTAATAGCTCACAATAACAATCCCTTTTAACAACACATCTAGACATATCTGACAACTGGTAAATCCAAAGAAAAAAAGATGTTGTTTGGAGCATGACAAGGCACTATCTCTGTTAACAAATAGTGTGCTGCAAAGGTAACACTCTTGGTGTGCAGAATGTCTACCACCCACGAAACATTTTTGGAAGTGCATAGTTTAGACAAGCTCTCCTGTGATTGTGTGGATAGATCACCCATTAGCTTTCTCTGCACACTGGTTGTGCTCCCCCCTCCATGTCTTTTACCCTTCTCTGTAGTTTTATCCAGAAAGAATGCACTCTTGAGACAGCAAACTGTTGTGTAAGAAGCACTGTAAACAAAAACAACAGGGAAATGAGTTCTAACAAACACATTAATGTTGGGACACCTCAAAACTCAGCAGATGCCTGTGCTGCTTTCACACTGGCCTCATGGGAAGCACAGCAGTACCTAATGTGTGTACTTTTAATAAATTTATTGCAAAATTGGTATTTTCAAATACTTCTGTGTAATGAACATTTTCCATCAACAAAACTAAGTATTTCTTCTAGAGGACTGGATTGTAAGTACAGCAACATGTCAATCAATGCCAAGTTCTACACTGGAAAAGGCTCCAAGGTTTGTATTTTGATTAAAGAGTGGCAGTTCATTTTATCCTACATGTACACAAGAGACAATGAGCAGTGTGTCCTTCAGTTATTGTGCATGTGTACAGGAGATATAAAAAGGTTAGATGCCAATTTGAGACTCTTAAGTACAGTTTACAACAAACTCTTCTCCCCTGCCCTGGACTGCTTCCCAGTCCACCAAGTTATTTGCTGGTCCTATTTCTGAAGTAGTATTCACTGAGTTTGAAGGCACTTAAAGTAAGCTATTCATTAAACCAGCAAAAGAAAATGAAAATACAGACCTTTACATCCAAGGAAGTAAATGCTTTTAACTAACTGGCTCTGTTTTTCAGGGGGGAATGTGAAGCACCACGTGCAGAACTTTCACTGCAGAAATACGCAGGACGGGCTAAAACCTCAGTCTTGAACCGTTACTTTATATTTCCTCTCTCATCTCTGTGCCAAACACAAAATTGATAATCTTTAATGGTCCTGATGGGGCCATCATCAGCTTCCTCAAAGGATAAATCCTGGCTTTTAATTCTTGGGGCATCAGAAACTGCAAAACATGTCCAAGATTCCCAAGCATATTAAACTGGCTATCTTTACTTCTCCCGCTGGCAGACCATCACTCCCTTTAGAAACAGACCTTCCTTCTAAAAAACATGAGCTATGCTTCCACAAGGTACAGGATGTTAGCTTGAGTTTTAAAGAAATCACTTTGTTGATTTACTAAAACTGGAGCAATATTTATTGCTGTAATCTTTATTACTTTGACATAAAATGTAACTAAAGTAAAGTCAAGAAGGTTTTGAAATCTGCCTTCTCATTTTTCTCTTTTTCTTCTAGGTCAAGCATCTGTTTTAGCTTAGAAAAGTGAAATTTGGAATTTCGGGGAGTCTTGGAAGCAGAGTTGGTTGTTGTCTGTCCAGATTCACGTGTCCTGAAAAACAAAAGATTCAAATGTCTTACAGGAGAGAAATAAGAATTAATATAAAGTAACTGTGAAAGCACACATATATAAATTGAGTGGAAAATATCCAAGAGAAATAGTGTATTTTTATGTGCAAGTGCGCAGGCAGAAGCAATACTATGTCATGCGAATTTTACATTAAAGACATTTTGCATTAAAGACACAAATGTAACTGGGTATTCTTTGCACACAGTGGCTTTCAATGAGGGTCTTTGATTTTAAAGTTTGAAAAGTTAAAATTGATCTCCTCAACCATACCAACTAAGAAATACACTAAATTATCAATTTAAACTTTATTAAATGACATCTAAAATCAACAAGATTTAATACACTCTACTTGGCAAAGGGCTGTTTTAAATAGGAAAGAAACACATACCTGGAAAGTGATGAGGGACTGTTCCCCTTAGATCCCAACCTACTGCTGCTTACAGGTGTCATTTTCTTTGCAGACTGAATTTTTACATCTGGTGTCTTCAGGCTAGATTTGATACCTGGAGTGCCACAATTTTGTGTTTTGGCTGCCAGAAAATCCCTGCTTTTACCATAGTATCTTGTTGTTTTGTTGCAAGATGTGCAAGTAACCAGCTATGGAGAGAAGAAACGAAGTATCAATCTGTCTTTCAGTCTTTCCACCTTTATGTCATAAAGCCATTAGAAGAATTACTCAAACTGTTCTCCAAATATCATGACACAAATTAAATATTTGCTCAAGTGAAACATGAGATACTAAAAAGTACAAAGATACACTTTGTAACTCTTTTTTTAATTCAGGCTTCTTAAAGCCAAATACATCTGGGTTTATCTAGAAATTACTCCAATTCCCTACAAACTCATTTCAGGGGACCCATACTGCTGAATGTAATATTGTGATATACAGAGAACAACCCTGTTAAGACATGAAACAGCACCTGAACTGGGCAAATCATATTTTGAGTGTACAAGATACACTGAGTATACTGGAGTACTCCTACACATTGGGAATTTGGCTAAAAAATTTGACATTCTGTGTCATCTAAAGTTATTAGCATATTCTACCCCCAATGAAGTTATATTGCCCACTTTTCAGGGAATCTTGGGAAACAATATTTAAACTACCAAACTCTCAAACCCAGTCATCCATTTTACTAAAAACAGCAAGTCTCAGTGAACAAAGCCAATGACGGGCACCAGGGTAGCTATAGATCCAATGGTTTCAGGAACCCACGTCTTAAGAGAGGAACCCA